CAAGACGGCCCAAGCTGCACCCAAGAGGGGTCAACGACGGCCCACGATGGCCCAAAGACGCTCACGCGACGCAAAAATGGCCCCGAGAGGGCCCCAGAGAAACCCCAGAGGCTTCACACACAGCCCTGCAGCGCTACAAGAGGACCCAAATACGGCCCAGCGAAATCCCCGAGACGGTCTCCGAAGGCAACAAACGAGCTAATGGCTCCCTGTGACGGCCCCAGGAAATCCCAGCATGCCCCGAAGAAAGCTCCCAGGAGGTCCCAGGGAGGCGCCAAGAGGGCCCCACGAGGCCACCAGTGGGCCTCGTCCTCATTCTCCTTCCCCTACACACACCGCAGCGAAACCGAAAATCCGAAAAGGCAGACGTTAGAGCGCCAACAGGAAACTCAAAAGCCGCACGCGCCCAAGGGAAACTCTCCTTCCTCTCCTCCTCTCCTCCTCATCCTCCTGATATTTCCGAACTTGCTCCCCCCGACGGCCCCACCACATGCCCAAATGCCACATCTGCTCGCATAGTCCCGTCGGGGGGGGCGCCGTGGGTTCAACTCTGCAGCATCGATTCGGCTGACTACTGGGCATTGTTTTTGTTTTACCCGTTGGGGGTACGGTCGGACCTAGGCTAGAAGAACATCTTCAATGACATCGCTTGTGTACACTACGGCGCATGTCCAGACCACAGCAGCCTCTTGAACTGACGCGAGAGACGCCTGCGTGCACCATCACCCCTGTGTACACGACGACACCTGCGTGCACCACAGCGCGAGTGTACACCACGATTCCGACGAGGCGCACACTCCAGAAAATCGTGGTGAGTCTGAACGTGTACAATGAAGTGTGTACCTTGTTTGTGGCTATTGACTTTTCAAGCCCAGGATACGATCCATCCTGCGCTTTGGGCCCGCAACGCCTGCGTGCACCACAGCGCCTGTATAACAATTGGCTTGCGCAACCACAGCAGCCGTGGGCACCAGAAAACCTGGCGACTGCGCCCACATCCATGCTTATGTACACCACCAAACCTGTGTACACCCCAAAGTCCAAACGGGACCCAGAGGAAAATCGTGGTAGGCCCGAACCTCTGACACTCAATACGTGAATTATGTATGATTCTTATGTTTCTGGCCTGGGGCACGGTCCGCCCTTTGTTTTGAGCCCGCAGTGCCTTTGTGCACTTGCATACAACACGAACCTTGCGCCACCACAACCGCCGCGCGCACCACAGCTTCTCGCGCCTGCGTTCACCACAGAGCTTGTGTACACGCCTGTGCTCACCACAAAACCTTTGTACACGTCCAGAGTCCCGACGGGGAGCACCAACTCCAGAAGATCGCAGTACGACCACCAACGTATCAAATTCAGCAAGCAGGTCATTTGTGATTGATGGTTCTTCCGGCCCAAGATACAGTTCACCGCAGTCTTTTGTGCACCACAGCGCCGGTGTACAACCCAATGCTTGCGCCACCACAGCAGCCGTGTGCACCTCTTCCTCTTCCTCCTCCTCCTCCTGCCCCTCCTCTTCCTCCCCCTCCTCCTCTCCCTCCTCCTCCTCTCCTTCTCCTCCTCCTCCTCCTCCTCCTCCTCCTCTTCCTCATCCCCCCTCCTCCTCGCATTTCAATGGGTGGTTCTGAGGAATCCTGGTAGGATCCGTGGGCACTGCATAGGGGTCCCTAAAGAGGTCATGTGGAAGCTTTGAAAGATTTACGCCTGTGGCAGTTTCCAGGCGTTACCTTTCCTTTACGGTGGGGGAGAGTCTGGGTCCAAAGCCTATGAAGAGCAATCACTTGACTTCGAGAGCTCCCGATGGCCCTTGGGCGATCTTGGGTCAACTCCCAGGGCCCCCAAGACGGACCACGAATGCTTCCGGAAAGTCCCTGGTATCATCTTGAGTCATGCTGGACATGTATGTCTCGAGCTGCGCCCTTGGACTCTCGGAGCATCACGCGACCGGCCCCGAAATCCGAATGACACGCGGGGACGTGAAGTCATGGGCCCTTCAACCATATTTACAATTTGGTGGGGGCATTGGACAAGGAACCCTTAGAGAAGGAGTCCAGGGTCTGAAAGCCGGCGGAGCTCCCATCGCGGATCGGCCATGGACATCACCGCCGCCCTCACGAATGAAGGAGTCCTCCCGGGCCTGCCGCCTCCTGGGCACATTCCTTCACGAACGCCCCCACCGTTCTCCGCATGGAGGAGCGACGACTCCTCAACAAGGGCTCCTAAGTTCGCGCTTCGCGCTGCGCGAAGCGCGAATAACTTCGCGCTCTCGCGCCGCCCCCCAAGGGGGAGAAGAGGAGGACGAGGAGGAGGAGGAGAAGGAACGAGGACCGCGAAGCGCGAAGCGCGAATAACTTCGCGACCTCGAGGGAGCCCTTGCCTCAAGACCTGAGGGCACTCCGAGGTGTGCCTCGAGGCGCGGGGCCGGACTCGGGAGGAACCTAACAGAAAAGCGGCGCACCCAGCAGGAATTCGGCAGGAGCGAGGCAAGA